CGTTGACCAGACCTTTGACATTGAAACTCCAGTATGTTGAGCAGGATATCAGCAACGCCTACAAGATCATCAATACTACAAAGGAAGCATTAGAGAAACTACGAACTGGTATTGATCAAAAACATGCAGAATGGTATCTAGCAGCAGTAAAGCTTGCGAATAGTCTAGGCATCGAACCATCAAAACCGAGAACTTGTGGCCGACAAACACAAAGATCAAATGTCCCTGCAGATACAGTGGAGGTGTATTATAAACGAACCATCAGCATCCCCTTTATAGATTTCTTGATCAACGACTTTAACATCAGATTTTATGATGGCCAGGAGGACATTTTAAAAGGATTCAGTGTATTACCGTCTATAGTACGTGCTCAAGAAAGTTGGTCCTTGGAATTCAAAGAGTTCTGTGACAAGTACAAAGATGACTTACCTGCTCCTTCAGGTTTGGATGCAGAATTGCTGTTGTGGAAATTATACTGGGATAAAACACCTGAATCAAAACTTCCTGGTAGTCTTCGATTGCTGTTGCCCGAAGTGGACTGCATCATGTTTCCAAACATATCGACTGCATTGCGAATTATGGCTACTATTCCTGTCACTAGCTGTGAATGTGAGAGATCGGTTTCTGCCTTGCGTCGTCTAAAATCCTTCATGCGGACAACTATGACCCAGGATCGTTTGAATGGCTTGGCGTTGATGTCTGTTCATAGGTCAATAGAAGTGTCTATCGATGCAGTTGTTAAAGATTTTGCGAACAGAAATCCAAGGAGAATGAAACTGCAGAATATTATTGATGATCAGTGATCAAAAACAGTGACTGCTTCTTCTCTATGTGCTTGTGTGTTAAGACTGGTCTTCCACAGATTTGTCTCAGGTTTTAAGTATTATATCCATTCAGTATTAAAATGTGAGTGCATAAGATGGATTGAAAAACTTTGCTATTGTAAATATTTGGTTAACCTGCTGATAAATTTTTAGCCTCTGTCCATGACATATTCCTGCCAAACAGATAATAGGTCTCAATGTTTTGTTTTCAGTCCAATAATTCATGGTTCAGTATTTTGCATTTTAAGTAAAATAAAAATTGAAAAATTCCATTAATTTATTTTGTTTAAACTTACAATATTTCTTTCTCATGGTATGTGGAATGTTGTTGCAATGCTGTATTATAAATCTAGTTTTATGCCTCTAAAACCCACCAGAGTGGCTTAGAATGGTCTGAAATTTTAAAAAATTTCCCCAGACCCCCCGCTAGCGCGTGCCTACGACGCCCGCCAGTCATGGATACTGTATTAGACGAAAATGGGGTGCCCTTATTTGAAAATGGGGTGCCCTTATTTTTTGGGAACCCCCTCCAGCTAGAGCCCTGGATCCGCCCCTGAATATCGAAAGTAAGGATGTAACGGTTCAAAAATTCTTGAACCGGTTAACAGGTCATTAAAAACCCAACCGTAACCGGTTAACCCATAAAATTTTCTATCAAAATATTTGTTGCACCAAAATAAGACTTGATAATATATTCTTAAATTATTAGTATTACAGCTTTTAAGTTAACATTTGCAGTCAGTACAAATTCCATTCATTCATTCTTGATGTTTCATTTCTCCATCTTGCACGCTGACACGTCACGTAGGCCCTATAGATATTAGATTATAGATAGACCAGTTGAATCATTGAATTGAAATCATGTTGATTTTTTTTTTAAAAAAGCTTCCCTAATACTTCATAAGATTAGTTATGAAATCAGTATTTGAAATCATACCTTGGGATTTTTAAATACAAAATAAGTTTGATTATTCAATGTCAGCTTATTCCAAATAATTTACTACACGTGTTTCTATCACAAGCCATGCTGTATCAAAGTTAATGTTTGAGGTGTAAGCAGAGACCACGTCCTTCAGAAAAGATAATTGGGTCAAAGTCGTAGGTCAAGGTCATCTTACAGAAAACTTAACTCAAACTTTTGAAAGTCATTTTTGGGACATTTGACCTTGACTTACAACCTCGACCCCGTAACCATTTTGAAAGCCCATAAACTTGGCTTGAACCATCAACGTTTACTCTGGCCCTATCGCATACTGCTCGATCAGAAAACGGTCAAACGCAGAGGACCCAAGTCCGAAAGGAAGTCAATGGGCGCGGTCAATGCGAAAGGTCATGGTGATCTCCACTAGTCACCTTTAACCATCCATGAACTTGACTTTGACCTTGAGTCCAAACTTCCCATCCATCTCGGGGCCCTTTGCGTTTATGCTTGCTGTGAACATAATTCTTACTTTATTATCAAAGTTAATGCTTGAGGTGAAAGCAGAGACAACCTCCTTCAGAAAAGTTAAATGGGTCAAAATCATAGGTCAAGGTCATCTTACAGAAAACTAAACTCAAACTTTTCAAAGTCAGTTTTGGGACATTTGACCTTGACTTACGACCTTGACCCCGTAACCATTTTCAAAGCCCATCATCTTGGCTTGAACCATCGATGTTTACCCTGACCCTATCGCATACTGCTCGGTCAGAAAACGGTCAAACGCAGAGGGCCTATGTCCGAAAGGAAGTCAATGGGCGCGGTCAATGCGAAAGGTCGTGGTGATCTCCACTAGTCAACGCTAACCAACCGTGACCTTGACCTTGATTTTGACCTTCCCATCCATCTCGGGCCTTCTGCGTTTATGCTTGCCGTGGGCCTATTTCTTGCTGTATTATCAAAGTTAATGCTTGAGGTGAAAGCAGAGACAACGTCCCTCAGAAAAGATATTTGGGTCAAAGGCGTAGGTCAAGGTCATGTTACAGAAAACTGAACTCAACCTTTCAATGTCAGTTTTGGGACATTTGACCTTGACTTACGACCTTGACCCGTAACCATTTTCAAAGCCCATCATCTTGGGTTGAACCATCGACGTTTACCCTGGCCCTGTCGCACACTGCTCGGTCAGAAAACGGTCAAACACAGAGGACCAGTGTCATAAAGGAAGTCAATGGACGTTGTCAATGTGAAAGGTCATGGTGACCTCCACTAGTCAATGCTAACCAACCGTGACCTTGACTCCAAACTTCCCATCGATATAAGCGCCTTTGCGTTGTCACGTACAACTGTGTAATCGAAACGACGCCAGTTGACTCAATGACAGGCTTTATGATACAGCACGCTAAGGCTGACCTTAAAAATATCTTTGTTTCACCAAACCCGACCCACAATCGAGGAGAAGGGTCGGTAGGTCGGGTTTTTTTCAGATTTTTTTTTTAAGAGCTAATTTGACAGCTTGATAATTTTCCGGGTGCAAACATTCGTCTTTTATTGGCAAACAAATCAATGACATCGGCATCGGGATTTTTCTTGATGCACGACTCGCACACAAATTGCGACAAACTCACGTTTGAAACTCCCTCAACACGTTTTTAACGATCGTGCGGGTTGTGCCTTTATTTTTCTCGAAAACGGATATTGAAAATATCGTCGTCATGTTTAAAACGACGCCCCACAGACATAGAGGCAGAATCATTTCGTGGGAATGGACGTGCTTTCGTCTGCAACCATTTTGTTGAGAAGCGACACCTATGACGCTTTCGTCTTGATCAACCAGTTTCAATAATGAATCAAACCATAGCCATAATAAAGGGAAATAACTCTCGTGATATATTTCAGGTTGACACACAAAATAAAATAAAAAGATCGCGGAAAAGTGCAATAAAATAATTTAAGTCGGGGGTGGTTTTAGTTAGTCGGTCGCGTTAGGCGAAACAAAGATATTTTTAAGGTCAGCCTAACAATTCGGTGGTATGGCTATACAATAATATAAGTATTGCGTATTTGCGTTAATAATAAATGTCCCAAAAATGACTTTGAACTTTTCTGAAGGACGTCGTCTCTGCTTTCACCTCGAACATTAACTTTGATAATACAGTAAGAAATAAGGCCACGGCAAGCATAAATGCAAAGGGCCCGAGATGGATGGGAGGTTTGGACTCAAGGTCAGGGTCAAGGTCACAGATGGTTAACAGTGACTAGTGAAGGTCACCACGACCTTTCACATTGACCACGCCCATTGACTTCCTTTCGGACACGGGCCCCTCTGCGTTTGACCGTTGTCTGACCAAGCAATGTGCGACAGGACCAAGGTAAACGTCCATGATTCAAGCTAAGGTGATAGCCTTCGAAAATGGTTACGGGGTCAAGGTCGTAAATCAAGGTCTGTGGAATCTTCGGAAATTAGTGATTAGACTGTATAATATGGTTTATTTCTAAATCAAACATTTTATTGGTACCTGGTTTAATTGCAGTAGACCAATTATGTGCGTCCCAATCAAACGCGCCCATCAAGGGAGTTAACTCTAATGTGTTTACTTTTACAGTCAGAAAAACCGCAACCGGCGGCCTCATAGAATTTTCATGTAATATGTGTATTTGTGTAGTTCTTATCAACAATAAACTTTTAAACACAGCGTAAACAAAGCAAATGGCGTCAAACGGATGAAGTTCTCTCTCGTTAGAAATTAAAAGGTCGGTAAAATAAAAAGTTAGCAATCGATTCGGCTGAAATGTGGTGTGCGGTCATTGCTAGCCCCCCTTAACATCCTCTGAAAATTTCAAGTGCCTCCGACCACGGGAACTGGTAGAGATACGAAAGTGCAATAGCGCCAAATGTTGGTGTGTATGTGATATTCGATAAACCTGTTTCACTGAACAACGTTTGTTTGTCAGTGAGTGTTATTGTTGCTCAGAGGTGGATAACACAATAAGGTAGGACATGCATTTAGAATTTATCGACTGACGCCTTTCAGCTCGTGGCTATTTGATGCGCCAACAATTTGGTGGCTCACTGCTCTAAGAAAGGACGGCTTAAAGAACCGAGACGGCGAGAGGTTACGTGTGAACGAAACCTCGAGGCACCCTGGAGTATAATCTAGATTATCTAGATAGTTTGTTCATAATCGAAGAATTAGAAACAGAATTTACTGAGCAATGCAAGACATCTAGATCTTGCCATCATCATACAAGCTTACCTATACTAATACTATATAATTTGGTTGAATAAAAATTCTTATAATAATGTACTGTGTTACTGTAGTCCTTCAGGCTTGCATACTGGTGCGTTTGTGTCCGAATGAATGGAATAAGGGATATGTTGCACGTTCAAATTTTGTAGAGAGGCCCCCAGCCGTACTAATATGAAACACCCTTTTTGATTGGTCGAAGTCTTTAAACGATAATTTTATTGGCCATTACCATGAATGCTAGTTAACTCGTCCACAAGCAAACCCGTCCACGCGAAAAGTCTAGTTAAGTCGTCCACAAATATCAAAACTTGTTGGTTCAGTCGTTAGGCTAGCGACCAAGGCTCCAAACCAAAAGAGACTTAAATGGCGAGATACTCTTACCGGAGGTAGAACGAAACATTTTAGATATTTCTTCATAGAGTCACATCACATCGATCACCTGCACCCAAAACTGGTTCTTAATCTTTGGCAAATTTCCATCATCATACATAGCTCAATATATTTTTTTTGCACTATTACTAATGACAACTTTTGTTTTTAACGGTAATAAATTTGATGGGGATAACCTTTTGGTTCTTGTTCTTTGATGCTGAAAAACTTGAAAATAATTTACTATCATCTAAAAGAGGAATGGGTGACCAGCGAATATTTTTAATCAGAACTTTTAAATTATGACGAAATTGAGGGGCCCGGCTAATTACTGGAATTCACCGATATCCATTTACAATCACTGGAATTCACCGATATCCATTTACAATCACCGGAATTCACATATAATCACCGGAATTCACTTCGAAAACCCCCGATTCCTCCCACAAACTAATTTATTTTAAATGTATAATACATTATAATGTAACGAATTACTATTTTGATATCTCCACAAGCCAAATAAAGGCCCGGTGGGTGTCTTTATTTGAAAGACTGCCGTAATTCATTTCAAATATATGCATCATGGGGCCCGACTAATCACCGGAATTCATTTACAATCACCGGAATTCACATATAATCACCGGAATTCACTTCGAAAACCCCCGATTCCTCCCACAAAACTAATTTATTTTAAATGTATAATACATTATAATGTAACGAATTACTATTTTGATATCTCCACAGGCCAAATAAAGGCCCGGTGGGTGTATTTATTTGAAAGACTGCCGTAATTCATTTCAAATATATGCATCATGGGGCCCGACTAATCACCGGAATACACCGGAATTCATTTACAATCACCGGAATTCACATATAATCACCGGAATTCACTTCGAAAACCCCCGATTCCTCCCACAAAACTAATTTATTTTAAATGTATAATACATTATAATGTAACGAATTACTATTTTGATATCCCCACAGGCCAAATAAAGGCCCTGTGGGTATATTTATTTGAAAGACTACCGGAATTCATTTCAATTCAAATATATGCATCATGGTTATGATAACGTAGGCGCGTCGTATTACCCAATATCAATAGGCGGAACTCCAAAATAACACTAAAAAAACAATTTGCGTCGAGTTACCCAATAACTCCAAAATAACAACCTATAACTTCAAAAATATTGACTGTGGAAACACAAAATAACAATTTAGTATGAGTTTAAGAAGCCTCACTGGTTTTTGTTCAAATCGGAGGTTCACGGGAGATAACTCGTGTATGTGGTTTTTGTTGACAAGAAACTTATGTATACTTTCGTTGCAATTCGTTGTAATGTATTGTAATTAGAGATTGATTAATAGTTTATTAAAACAGTGATTATATGCATGAAACATATTATGCTATATATAGTGCAATAAACAATTTAATATTATAGCTATATTTATTTATTTATACTTGCAAATTGTGTCGATTGTCACTTTCTGTCATCGACATCGTAACTTGTTTTGAAATAAATAAATGAAATCAATTTAAACTAGAACTGCGATGCAGTAATGACGGGTTTCACCGGTGCCACATTACCCTTGAACTTATGCCATTTCCGGTACCAATGAAACCGTTAAACAGGTTTCCACATAAGCATTGCACACATGAAATAAAATGGACGTAGAATCAACCAAATCCAGCAATCAATTCATTTTATACATTTGTTACATGTCAGTGATCCTGACAAAATTACATTACTTCCGGTGATAATGAAAATGTTAAATTGGTTTATGAAATCAGAAATAGCATCATCACATGGTGAAAATTTTATGTAAATCGAACAATAATTGCCATCTTTATAGACCAAAAACCTTGAAAAATGACGTGTAGAAAATCGTCTATTTCTCTGCAACCGTACAAGTTAGAATCCATTTTGTGGTATCTGTATGATCATATGGGTTCATTCTATATGTTGATTGGAATCACAAATATCATAATTTTAGAAACATTACAAATCAGACTCATTTGAATAAAATATCTGTTTTGAAGGCTAAAAATACAGTTTTTGCCAAAATGACATTATTTCCGGTGATACTAAAAATGTTAAATTAGTTTTATAACATCGTCTATGATATTGGGCATCACATGGTGAAATTTTTTATGAAAATCGAATAATAATTAACACTTTTAGTGACCAAAAACCTTCAAAAGTGACTTGTAGAAAACCGTCTATTTCTCCGCAACCGAACAAGTTAGAAACAATTTTATGATATCTATATGACCGTATGAAATTTATTAATATGTTAATTTAAACCAAAAGTTAAAAATATTAATACATATTAAATAATTCTTGATTGAAAAAAATATTGATTTTAAAAGTTAAAAATGCAGTTTTTGACAAAATGGCGTCACTTCCGGTGTCAATTTTAAATTGTAATCAATTAGATATGACGCATACTTGCTTTTTGATGCAAATGGTGTCACTTTTATGAAAATCCAATAATTATTGACTATTCTACAGGCAAAATAACGAAAACAGTGACTTATGCAAAATTGCCCATTTCTAGGCAACTGCTTATATTACAAACTAATTTTAACATACATTTTCTTCGTATGGATTATAGCTACAAGTTTATAAAAGTTACGTAGAGATATTTTAAAATCTGAAAAGCCTGAATGGGTTGTAAATAGGTCAATTTTACACCCTTTTTCACCTCTTAATCGAATTTGCTCGAAAATGAAATCGAAATTAAAAAATCTGAGCTCACACTTTTTTGCGCCTTTAAAGAGTACACTCTTTTAGTTATATCAGTTTTTAAAAAAATTAATATTTGCTTTCGAAAAATGGTACCTAACTGTCAAAATTGTAGTTTTTGGTAAAATTACGCCACTTCCGATGCCGACAGAATCTACAGGTAACAAAACAAATGACAATTGAGACAATGGAGCATATGAACTTTGTGTTATACAAATCGAATAATAAATAATTAATCTAGGACTGAAAAACTGAATTAGCCAATGGCGGCCAAGGAAAATTACGGAGACAAAAAAAAATCACATTTTTGCTCAAGTCAGATGACTCTTTAATTCTGTGTAAAACACGACTAAAAAATATTCATAAATAAAAAAAATAATATTGCTTTCGAAAAATGGTACCTAACTGTCAAAATTGTAGTTTTTGGTAAAATTACGCCACTTCCGATGCCAACAGAATCTACAGGTAACAAAAAAAATGACAATTGAGACAATGGAGCATATGAACTTTGTGTTATACAAATCGAACAATAAATAATTAATCTAGGACTGAAAAATTCAATTAGCCAATGGCGGCCAAGGAAAATTACGGAGACAAAAAAATTTCACATTTTTGCTCAAGTCAGATGACTCTTTAATTCTGTGTAAAACACGACTAAAAAATATTCATAAATAAAAAAACAAATTGTAAAAATTTCAATTTTCTAAATTTCGCGCCTAATATCTGCGAAGATTTGCCGAAAATCAAAAATCAAAAGTAGCGTAGCTATGTGCCCTGTCTCCGGCTATGACAAAATGCATCGAAAGTTAAAATCCAACGATTATTGTTAAAATTACTGCAATATTTTTAAAAACGAAAGCTTCGGTGATTTCGGACATTTCGCATTGTCGCAGAACGTTCAAAATAGTTTTATCCTCTAAGTTACACCCACTTTCCCAGTAAAACCGAAGAAATCGAAACGATGCGACAAGCAGTTGCTGAGATCTAATCAAAACTGAATTTGAATAATAATAATAAGAAGAACTAGACCTGCAAGCAGCACTGAACCGGCTTTCAGGAACCAGACAGGAAGTGTGTCATACAATAGCCCATTTATCGAGCTACCAAACGATACTTTAGAGGTTTTGATCCGGTCACACCCGACGGTGAAATCCCGATTGTTGCAAGAGCACCGATTTTTTTACTGTCTTTTTTTTTTTAAATATCGAATATTTATTTGACTACTTCCTGTTTACGGATCATTATCGGGATAGATTTAACAAGTGGTATGGAAACTTAACTTCCTGTACCAGAAGTTTCAGAAAGATCCATTGGACAGATTTACCCCCCTTATACCATTAGAAGCAGATTTACATATATAACGATTTTTCGACTTTTTCTTCAAAGATTGTGGCCCCTTTGGACCATTTATACTATATTGAGGCTTTTAAATTTGGATTCACACCATAGACCACCGTTAGGACTCTAAGTAACAGAAGTTTAAGAAAGGAAATAAGAGAGGTTTTCGAAATAAAAGTGTCTGAATAGGCTCAAAAAAGGAAAAAAAATAGATTTTCAGCGTTCCATTATATATTGCCTAACCCGCGAATTTTTACCATTTAGATGTCATAAGATCGTCCATTGTTCGAACTATCTAATGACACTTTAGTTGTTTTGATTCGGTGGAATCTGGTGTAGTAATCACTTTTTTCGCAAGATCGCCATTTTTTTTTTTTACTTTTTACGGTTTTTTTTCTCAAAATATCGGAAATTTTTTCGACTACTTCCGGTTTTTGGATCATTGTCGGGATAGCTTTAACAAGTTGTTTGGTTACCTTACCTTCTGTACAAGAAGTTTCAGGATAATCAGCTGTTTTCCAAAGAAAGAAAATTAGAAGATCATTTTCAGTAATTTAAGGATTTTTCAACTTTTTTCCAAGATTGAGGTTCTTTTTGGACCACTTATATTATTTCAATGCTTTTATTTTTGGACTCACGCCGTAGTCCACCGATAGGACTCTGAATAAAAACAGTTTCAGAAAAAACTTAGTTTTCGTTTTCGAGAAAACGGCGT